GCCTGCCAGGCAGGCGCTTTTGCCGCTGAGCTAAATCCCCAGCCCCTATCATTTTTAAATTCAAAGAATTTTACCACATCAATTATTCTCTATTTTATTATCTTCTACCTCTCTTCACTGGCTTCTTCCTCTTTAGTTACAAATACTGTGAAGTCTCTTACATTAAAAACAACGGCGCCTCAACCCTGCATCAAGCTATGGCTTTTTGTCATTCTTTTACAGCGAAGCTTCTATCCCATTTCCTTCCCTGTTTTCCTCCTCCCTAAAACAGCTCTCCCTTCTCTCTTTCCTCCCCTCTTTTTCTGGTGGCATTGGAGTAGAACTCAGGGACTTACTCATGTTAGGCAAGTACTCTATCACGGGAGCAATCCCTGGAGCCCCAAAATTACATTTTAATTGTCAGAATCAATAGGCATTTTTTTTTTGTACCGGGAATCGAACTCAGGACCTCGAGCTTGCCTGGCAGGCACCTGTGCCACTGAGCTATATCCCTGGCCCTACTACAGCTTTCTTGAAGCCCCTTTTCTCCCTTTGACCTCTGAAACACTACTTTGTCTTTGCTAGCTGGAGCCTCTTAGGAAGAAGAGCCAATAAGGGTGACAGAGAACAATCTCTGCCTACACCTCAACTGTTAATGTTCACCACACTGCACTTTCTTACCTCCTTTCAATTTACATTTATTGAATAGTATCATTTATATCCATGGCTTTCCCTGACAGAAATATGCTAATTTGCTTATAAAGCTCTTATTTAAGGTCCTTAGGTTTAACTGCTATTGGACTTTTAAACCTGGAAGTCCCACAGATATCTTAAAGAGCGTATTTCCAAAATGAAAGTTAGTATTTTTGTTTAAATAAATCCTGTTCAGGTCTACAGGCCAGGTACCTATGGGCCAGAAACCTGGGCATCAAGCTCTACTCCTCTTCCATCACCTCTCACTACTACTGCACAGCATCATGGGTAACTGAAGAAAGGAAAGCCAGGTTCAAATCACCAAAGCCCATTTTAATCATTTCTCACTGTGTGGTTTTGGGTACACTTCTTTTTTTTTTTTTTAAACCTTTATTAACAGGTGTTTGCAGTTTGTTGAGGTTTTTTATTTTTATTAAATTAATTAATTAATTTTTGTCTTTTTGAGACAGGGTCTTGTTATGCAGTTCAGGCTGGCCTTGAGCTCATTTTATAGGCCAGGCTGGTCTCGAACTCACAATGGTCCTCTTGCTTCAGCCTCCCAAATGCTGGGATTACAGGCATGTGCCACCACGCCTGGCTTGGGAACATTTCTTAACTTCTATAAATATAATTTTCTTAATAGTAAAATAAAGATAACAGCACTTAACTCATAAGTTTTTATAAGGCTCAGGCAAGAAACTGTATTAAAGCACTTAGCATACATAGTACCTGGCACACAATAAGCACTCATAAATAGCAGCCACTCTCAACATTCCTAAGAGTTTAACCACTAACCCACTAATTTATTGTCTCTTCTCTTCAACTCACTAATTCTCTCTCACCACCAATGCTACTATTAGAATTTAAACCTTTATCTTCTATTATATGGAATACGACAAAAGTTGCAGAACTAAATGCCTTTAGATGTAGTACTCATTTGACCTATCCTCCATGCAACCACCAGAGATTTTTCTAAAATACAGAGCTGACCTCTTATACTCAGGTATTTTAGACTCCCTACTACTACTTTAGAATAATACACAAAATGTTTCAGCCTGGACTCTAGCTAGTTTCATCTTCTATCATTCACCAACCTTTTGAACCCTCAACTCCTACAATATCAACTATCAATTACATCCATGTAAAGGCACTTCCATGCCTTTGTACTATTTCCATAACAAACAGCTTTCCTTTTTAATTCCTTATCTAGGGTACAAACACTCCTACTCATTTACCTTCTGCAATCTAGCTTAATGTTAGGCCCTCCGCAATATATTTCTAGATCCAACCAGCCAGAGTTTACTGCCCCTTCTTTAAGCTACCATTCTATTTTTGAGATTACTTATTTATATACCTGATCCATCCACTAAACTTTGACTTCCTAAAGGGCCAAGATCAAGTGCTAATTCATCCTTAATTTCTAATTGCTAGCTCAGAGTCAAAAATAAATCTTTTTGGTGGAATAACGAGTGACTGAGCATAAATGAAAGGCTACCTTGCTATGAATGGCAAGTCACTGAAAGTTTTGGAACAAGGGAATAGATGATGTCAAAGATGTTATTAAAAATTATCTTGATAACAGCATAAAGAATGGAAATAGAAATCAATGGTGAGAAATCCATTCAGGAGATACATGTAGTAAGTAGTTCAATTGAGGAAATGTGGGCCCAAATAGTGTAGCAAAGGATGGGTGTGGTGGCGCACACCTGTAATCCCAGCAACCAGGAGGCTGAGGCCGGAGGATCGTTTCGAGTTCAAAACCAGCCTGGGCTACAAAGTGAGCTCAAGGCCAACCTGAACTGCATAGTGAGACCCTGTCTCAAAAAGACACACACAAAAAAAGTGTAGTGATAAGAAAGAACCAGTTTGAGACGCACAGGAAAAGGAAAAGGTGCTACCTGTTTGGGTATGAGAAGGATGGAAAGACAAGGTATAAAGTGGTATTTTAAAGTTCAAGCCTAAGAGACCAGGAGAACAGAGGTCACAATCTGAGGAAAAAGAAAATAATTTAAAGTAAAAGTAAAGATGAAGGTTACAATTTTGGATGTACTAGACCAAACTTTAAAATATGGCTAGAGTTCTTAGTATTTCACAACCTTTTTATTTCTGTATTTCCTTTTCCTACTTTTTTCTTCCTTTGTATTTGAAGAACCCTCTTAGTCAAGGAAAATTGTACCAGGAAAAAGCTAGTTAAAGGAACTGCCTCCCGCAAAGGGAGACTGTTTCAGAGTAAAACCATAGGAAGAAAGTCTAATTTTGGAATTTATGCTAAAAAATAACATTTATAATAAATTTTTTCTTTAATATTTAAAAAAATTTAAGTTATAGCTTCAACTACATGCTAATTCTTAAACATGGAATCATGCTTTTCTTGGCTGTAACACCAAGCTTATAGCACTATAAACTGAAACCCTTAATTTCATACTGATCTTTAATAACAGCACATCATAACAAATTTTAGAGGACTTCATGGGTTCACCCAAAGGCCTCTATCAATCCTTTAGATTTTAAACCATTTTCCTTTGAACCATTTTCATTTTACAGAGATGATGCCATAAGAAAGAAGCCAGAATAACTCTGTAATTTGGCACCAGTGAAGTTTTTATGAGATTACAAGCTTTTCTGACCTGAGATTCATATAAACCCTAGTATTTAAAATAATTATGATCAATGAAAGATGGCACTTATTTCTGACCTGTATTATAATTGTAGTGGAAAAAATACAGAAATACAAAAACAAAACAAAACACATACAGAGAAATACACCTGGATACTTTTAGTTGTAGCCATGCTGGATACTTACATCAATATTGACAGGTTCTATCGTGTTTATATGCACATTGGGAGCAGAGGAGGACCGGTCTCGCTGTCCAAATTGATTTCGATGGTCTTCATCTGCTGGTCGGAAAGGCTGTGGAATTGGAATGGATTTTGAAGGAGATGGGCTGGTGAGAATTGGGGGCCTGGAAAAATCAAGTCATTGGAAGGTAAGATTCAGAGAAACTATATATGTACAGATAATATTTAAAAGTGGAAGACATAAAGATTTTCTCACTTAATATAAAAATCTTTAAAGTAAAGCAGTGGAATTCCAGCGGCAATGACTATATAAAAAGCATTAGTTTAATAAACTAATATACCTATGATGACTCTTGCCAAGGCTGCTTTGCTTGAGCAGAGCCTGCAGGGACTACCAGTAATAAGAACACTGACTCTTACCCAAAAGACTCCAGGGAATCTTTGCATACACATGCCTAGAAATTATCTGTGGCTAGTCAGCTGAAGATGCTCTTATCCTTTAAAATATACCAAATGATTAGCTTTTTCCCCCTAACTTTTCATTTCTTGATATCTAAGGTTACTCAATAAACATTTTATATAATATATTATAAGCTGTAAGAATTTTGAGACTATACCTGGGCATTTAGAACCTGAAAGATGTACTAGCTGCTTTACATCAGAACTGAACAATATCAAAAGATCATTTCCAAATTCAGATGACCTTCATATTGCCAAAATTTTTTACATTGTGAAATTTCTTCTGTGCCCGATTACTGATACCACAAACAGAAGAAAATCATATACTAAACCTTAAAGAAAAATATTTTTTAAAAAATGCTTTATGATCAAAACACCAAATCGTGACCTGTTTTGGTACTGCAGGTAAGTACCAAAGTCTATGCTCTCTCACTGGTCTTAAAGTGAATCTGACACAGAAAACCTGAAGTTTTAAGAATAGATTGTAACCATTTACAAGGAGTCTAAGCTCCTCAGAAAGATATCCTTGGGGCAAAGCAGTGAGCATCACGGGGTTCATGAGGTATGGCTGTCTTGCTGAGCTCCATCAGGACCAATAAATATTTCTGCATTCACAAGCTCTTTGGTTATCATTCCACCGCATCTATGCAAACTTCCTAACAAGTCAGCTTTGTTTAATGGTTATTAGGACAGAATGACAATGTTGAGCAAATAAAAAGACATTTGGGAGGGGTGAGGATTTGGATAGGCATGGTAAGGATATATAGTAGAAAAAGGAATGGATGAAAGTTTGAAGAGCAAAGGAAGTTCAACAGTGACAAAAAGCCACTTAATAAGGCATGTCAACACAATCTGAACTATACACCCATTTATAGTTTTACTTCTCTGAACACATTAAGGATAGGGGAAAGAAATTTTGACTGTAGGTATTCATTTAACTACACGAATCCATTTAGAATTGATATGCAAATAATAAAATATCATGTACTAAAAATCTGTATCGGCCCAGTTAGAATTTTAGGTAACTGTCTTTGGGAAAATTAACATGAAGCTTCACCCCCTTATTTTATTTTTTTGGAGACAGGGTCTCCTGTGTAGTTCAGGCTAGCCTTGAGTTCACTATATAGCCCAGGCTGGCCTCAAGCTCAGTGATCCTCCTGCCTCACAGCCTCCTGAGTGCTGGGATTACAGGCATGTGCCACCACACCCAGCAGTTTCCTGGTTATCGAGAAATTCTTATGTTCTGATAGAGCTGCCTTTATTCTTGCTTTAGGTAGTCAAATATATACCTTTTGCTAAGGAATTCTGGGTGAGGTTAAAAAAATATTTTGGAAAGTGCACTGACTGCTAAACTACTTAAAAAGCTGCTGTTATGATTTAGGGCAATAGCAGTTTAAATCAGTCTTAAAACTGGAAAAGGCCTGAATGAACTAGAACTGTACAGGATAATCTAATTAATAATAATTGGTCTGGTGCAGACCGTAGTGGCAGTAAGTTACTCCTTAAGATCATGACAGAAACAGCAAATCGGAACTACACATGTAAGAGAAGTTGATCCAGAAGCAAGAAAATCACTTAATGTGATAAACCTCATTATCATAGCTAAAGAAAAGCATGGGTATACACTTCTAGAAAATGAAATTTTTGCCTATTATACAAAATCTGGGACTAATACCACCTGGTGGAGAAGGTCTCCTGTGTCTCCTGATCTACAATGTCAATTTATCTAAAAATAAGGGCAAGTATAACAATTTTGGAGGCTGGGCATGGTGGCGCATGCCTGTAATCCCAACACTCGAGAGGCTGAGGCAGGAGGACTGCCACGAGTTCGACACCAGCCTGGGCTAAACAGTGAACTCAAGGCCTGCTGGAACTACACAGTGAGACCCTGTCTCAAAAAAAAAAAAAAAAAAAAAGAACACAGAGTTATCAGGACTCTGGTGTATTACACATATGAACTATGTCCTAATTCCATGCTTAATAAAAGCAGTCTTTTGATTATAATTTGGTTTCCCATCACTATTTTCCAAAAGAGGAGTGGGTGCTGACCTATCTAACATAATGGCTTATATAGCAGATATGTTCCTCACTGAAATCAATTACTTGGTATTCTAATTTACTCTGTTTTGATTCTGTTTAATGAAAATTTACTTAATTACTAATTCTCATCATTTCTGGGAACCAATAAAATTGAGTTTCCACACTGAGAAATCTTTACCTGGATTAAGAAAATTTATACTCTACAAAGTAACTTTGCAGTTCGCCAATTGGCTCCCTCCACAAGATACATTTTTAAGCATGCTGGGCAAGTGTCTTTAGAATCAGTACCAAATTAAAAATAAAAAGAATTTTTAACACTCTTCAGTACACTACCATTAATTCAGAACTCATTTTTAAGCTAGAATATTTAAAACTTTTAAAGCAAAGTGACTACTTTTGTTTAGTGATATACAAATTTTAAATGATGACTTGTTCTAAATGCATATTATCATTTAAAAAAAATAGAAATGGAAGTATCTCTTACTTTGTATTGAAACCCAGCATTATATCATATCTCCAAAATTTTTTGGTTACATCCATTAGGATATTTATATCATGACTTATCATTTTTTGTTGTTGTTGTTGTTTTGTTTTGTTACCAGGAATCAAACTCAGGACTTTGTGCTTGCCAGGCAGGTGCTTGTGCCACTGAGCTATATCCTGGGCGTGACTTCTCATTTTTATTAGGACTAGTAATAAAATACAAAGTATGATTGATTCTCTGCGTGTGTCTGTGTTACTGGGGATTGAACCTAGGGCCTTTAAACCAAACTAGAGGGGCTGGGGATTTAGCTCAGCGGCACAGTGCTTGCCTGGCAACGTAAGGTCGTGAGTTCGATTCCTGGTACTGGAAAAAAAAAAAAAACCAAACTAGATCGTCAACCAATTTTTAATTATTACTCTATTCTATGCTCTCCTATGCTGTGTTATGCTATGCTATATGCTCTATGTTATGCTATGCCTTATTCTCTTCTCTCCTCCCCTCCCCTCCTGGCCCCTCTTCTATTCTATTCTTATAGGGTCTTGCAAAATTGCCAAGATGAGACCCGAACTTGTGACCCTCCTGCTGCAGCCTCCAAGATGGCTAGGATTATAGGCATGCACTACCATTCTTGGCTTGAAAGGGATTGATTTCTATTATTACAGAGACAATCATATACACTATGACATAAAAGCATCAGGAAAGCTGGATGTGGTAGCACATGCCTGTAATCCCAGCACTTGGGAGGCTGAGGGAGGATTGCTGTGAGTTCGAGGCCAGCCTAGGCCACATAGTAAGTTCAAGGCCAGGCTGAACTATATAGAAAAACCTTGTCTCAAAACCCCAACCCAATCCAACCCAACCCAAAACAAACCCAAAAAATAAAGCATTAGGAAGATGATTTATGAAGGTTTACATGTCTTTCTTATTTGCCTAAGACTACAATCCAGTAGTCTAGTTTAGTTATGACTAAAACTCATGGCAAATGGTTTCTTAGGATTTTTTTCACTGGAAGGCATATCCTATATTGTTGCCATTATACACTCTCAAAGAAGCCAAGATAATTTCATCACGGTGTTCTACAGCTCTGCTCAAACAACTGGGATGTGCCATTAGAAAGGGACTGTGGTCTACAGAGTCTATCAGGAGAAAATGTTATAGCCAAAGGATTAATTAAAAACCAAAGAAAAAAATAGTAACATTTTTATTTGATTGTCTAGAAAACACACATCTGCACATGACTAATGATTGTGCTAGCAAGAACAAAATGACCAGCAGATGAAATAACTGTTACATCCTGACAAAAGAACACAGTGGTTACATTTTTCTTCTTTTTATTTTTCTGAGACAGGGTCTTGTTATGTAGTTCAGGCTGGCCTCAAGCTCACTATGTAGCCCAATCTGGCCTCAAACCTGCAATTCTCCTGCCTCGGCCTCCTGAGTGCTGGGATTACAGTTCTGCATCATCATTCCCAGTCTTTTTGTTTGTTTTTGTTTTCTTAACCACTCTTTAATATAAAAGTCTTCTGTTAACTTTTCTAACTCGTGAGACCTTTAGGAAGACTGGCTTCACAAAAATTACAAATCTATGATAAGTGTCAATTTATCTCTCTAGGTAGAATCCTAAAGAAGTAAGATTACATTGTGAAGAGCAGAAGGGTGAAAACTGACAAAATTTCTAAACCAAGTATTTCTGAAATTCCAGACATAACATAAATCACGGTGCCTCAAATCCAGTCACAAAAAGATCTGTGTAAGCAATGCTCTAGACAAAATTAATACCACTTAACTCATCATTACTGTGGATCCCTTTTCTTCCTACCTTGAAGCTGAAATACACGACGCCTTTGCATTGCCTGTAAAACCACTACCTTTTTCCTCTACAACTGACAACACTACTGATTTTTCTTCAGCACTTTATGAACACCTGTCCTTCTCTGCACTGCCACCGCTCCAGATCAGGACCTTACTGTCTGCCAGTTTTCACAACCTAGTTGCCATTCCTCACTTAGACTTTTCCCCATTGGTCCATCTGTAGTTCACCGCTACATGGTTATTTCTTTAAAACCATTTTCATCAGGCTAGTAATCTGCTTGAAAAACTAATCTTTTCTCCCTTCTTGTGCCAAGCAAACTAATACCCTCTGCAACTGGGCTTTACACATGCGCCTCTCAACTTTGACAAGCTTTTCTTTACTAGCTCTTTATTTATGCCACTTTTCCATCTCCAATTGCCATGCTTTCATTCCTATGTTCACTCAGGTTCTAGTTCAGCTCAGATCTCATCTTCTCCATTAAGTTTTCCTGCTTTTTTTCTCTATTTCCTATAAAAACAAAAAATTTATATCCTCATCACATAGTACAATATACTCCATAAACTATAGCTTATAAAGTTTAAAAAATTATTTACAGTTGTTTCCAATGTTCATGCTACTTTTACAAATAGAAGTCTTATACTTCTATACCTAATACTACCCAATAAAATGGTAAACACAAGGTGGGAACTCAAAATTTGTTGTTTGATTTTTTTTAGAAGTGGTCCTGAAACAGTCTATTGTTATCTAAATCCCATTTCTGTACCACATACATGTAAATGTCTGCAGGGTGTGAAAAAATAAGTTATTTGGGAAAAAACTCCTTAATTTAACAATTCAAGTGTTGGGAAGGTTTTCAAATTAATCAAAAGAAAGCAATTCAAATAGCACATCACTCCACAGCAGGGGTGAAATCATACCCAATGGGCTCTGAGGGGGCTGCAGAAGGGGATGATCCAGATGTAAGGGCGGTCTCTGCTAAGGAGGTCTCCTCCTGTGGTAATGGGTGGTGTTCAAAGAACTTGGAGACAAACAGCAAACTGTGGGGCAAAAACAAAACAAAACAAAACAAACCTAACTTGTGTAAAGCCCAGAAGTGTCAGTATAACAGAATATACAGTAATGGAAAAATAAGGGGTCAATTCCATTTCCAGAAACAATTGTTAAAATTCAATTAGTTGCATTTTTGTCTAAAGGCTTATTAAAACAATTATATTGTATTTTCAAAGGCAAGCTCAAACTCTAAAGCTAATTGTTCTCCAGTAAATTTCTACACATTAGAGGGGGGAAATCATGCTTAATGGATAAAGCATTAGAAGAAAAAGTATTGCTAAGTTAGAGCACATCATTATAATTTACTTTCAAGTACAGAGTTAAGTTTCTATTTGCTTAAGTAATCAGGAAAAATAAAAAGACCTTAAAAGTAGCAGCAACAATGATTATGACAGGCTCAGTCTGATCTATCAGAAAAACTCTGGTTTAGAACAAAAACACATTTTATAAAGAAACTAAGTACTAAGATTTTATATCTTACTCTCATACACACTGAAGGAACAAGGCTCCAGGTGGTGGTGGGGGAGAATATAAATGTAATTTACACAATAGCAGACAGAACCAGACACCATCATCTGCAGCCTAAAGATACAATAGTCCACTTAACTGAAGTGACACTGGGTTTCCTCTCAAAAATGATCCAGAAGTTTTTCTATGGACTAGGCATCTTTATTAATTAAAAGAGGATCTAAAATATAAATAAATGTATAGCTGGACTGGAATTACAATTTGGGAGAGAAATGCTGGCTGTACTACGTTACTCTCTGACCACACTTTTAAAAATTCTCCGTAATATCTGTACTGAGAGAAAACTCACTTACAGGACATACTGGTTTAATGTTATGAAAGTTTAAATGTAATATGGTAGAAAAGAGCTTCTTTAGGATTACTTACTCAAGTTGGTCATAATTAACACACATCACAGGAACCTCTGTACTACAGCGCTGGTGAAATTTATAACCACATGTTTGACAGCGGAAACCCTGGAACAGTAGCTTTCGACAAAAGTCACAAAATGCTAAGGTGAAGAAAGTTTTCCGTACCTACAAAGCAAAAAAATCAAAGAAGGTTTCAAAAGTGTGCAAGAGTCTCTTTGGAAATCAACATGTTTACTCTCTTGTTTAAATAACAATTTTAAATATATTTGTATTATAAAACTCACGTACTACAATAAAAGAAGAACACCAGGGGATCAAGATGGTAGATGGTCTGTCCATTTTTATGTCCCATCCCAATATCCAAATTAAAAACTTGGAAGTCAAGCTGAGAGGCAGACTAGCAACTGATTTCAAGCTTGACAACATAAAATTAGAAAAGAAGGGAATACAGGGGAAAGGAAGATGAAAGATGGGGAATGATTTAATTATTGCACAAAGGGGGAAATAAGGAAAACTAATTGGCATTGACGGAACAAAATATAAAGGTACATTTCTATTATTTAAAGCTATGAGCTGGGTGTGGCGGTGCATGCTTGTAATCCCAGCACTTGGGAGGCTGAGGCAGGAGAACTGCTGTAAGTTCAAGGCCAGCGTGTAAGGTCAAGGCCAGTCTAAACTACAAAGTGAGTTTAAGGCCAGCCTGAACTGCACAGTGAGACTCTGTCTTGAAGAGATGAAAAAAAAAAAAAGTTATGAATGACTCCAATAGAAGGATTGAAAAAAATCAAAACCAGCCAGGCATGGTAGCACATGCCTGTAATCCTAGCACTCTGGGAGGCTAAGGCAGGAGGACTGCAAGTCTGAGCTCAGCCTGAGAAATTTAAGTGACTTAATAAGACATTATCTCAAAATAAAAAATTTCAAAGGGCTAAGGATATAGCTTAGTGTGAAGGCTCTGAGCTCAAGTGACAGTAACATATACATGGCAAAGAAAAAAAATTGGTAGGGAAGGGCTTTAATGCTACAAATAAGAGGATTCCTAATAGAATCCATAATCAGTACTTGGGATGTCCAAAGTTGACAAAGCAAGAAATTTCAGATAAAATACACTGGAGGCTGAGGCAGAACGATCACTGTGAGTTTGAGGCCAGCCTAGGCTATATGGCGAGTTCAAAACCAGCCTGAACTAAACAGAGACCCTGTCTCAAAAAAAAATAAAAATAAAGGGGCTGGGGATTTAGCTCAGCGGCACAGCACCTGCCCAGCAAGCGCAAGGTTGTGAGTTTGATTCCCGGTACCAGAAAAAAACCAAAAAATAAAAATAAATAAATAAAAATTAAAAAAGGTCACAGGATCAGAATCCCTCACCTGTGGTCCAAAAACATAATGGTTAACAATTGAAATGACACTCACTCCTTCCAAAAACTATGCAAAAGTACTTTCTATAGGCTGAGGGTCTTTATTGATTAAAAGAGAATCTACTTATTAAGTGTTCAGCTGAACCAGAATTACACTTAGAGGGAGCAGTGATGGCTATACTGCAGGTTACTTTCTAACTAACGCTTTAAAAACTTCTAACATACTGGATAGAAAACTCCTCAGACTTGAAAGTATATTCACTTTATATTATGAAAATTTAAATGTCAAATGGTAGAGAGAAAAGTTTATTACTTCCTCAAGTTGGTCATAACACACAGCATTAGAAACAACGCTGGGGCAATTTATAATCAGCATTAGAAGCTAGCAAGGGACGGTACAGTAGATAATGAAATACTTTTTACATTGCTAGCAGAATCTCAGGAAACAGCAGAGAATCCCATAAGATGTTTTCACAGGCAACTATATTTTTCATTCATCTCGTCTTTTTTCTAACCCATTCATACTCTCACTCACTTGATAATTGTGTCAGCTTCAGGAAGCCCTCAATTTCTCTTTCCTCATTTATTCATTAAAACTATGTGTAACTTGTGGGGCACATATATAACAGAGAAAACAGAGAACAAGGAAGAGGGGAAGAAGGTATGGAAGCAGGGACAGGAGCAAAACGTCTGAGGGGGAGAAAATATGTGGATATGCATTTGAGTATAAACTTAAAACAACAAGGGCCAGGAATACAGCTCAGTGGCACAGCACATGCCTGGCAAGCACAAGATTGTGAGTTTAATTCCTGGTAAAAAAAAAAAAAAAAAAAAGAAACAACATATGCTTACATTGGTCAGGATACATTTGTCAGTAAAGGTGTGCACAGGAAGATGTATCTTCTGGGTTACAGCTTATGTTTAGCCTGGAATTTGAGTACATTTAAACGTGTAGTAGAATACTGGGAAACTCCAGGCTGGTGGCACTTAAGCTTACACTACGTTCTACCAAATGAAAAAACAGGCAGAAAGACTCAAGAAGGGAGTAATACCCAGCTACCCCACATTCCTCGTCCATCCCCCTGTGCTTCAGAGACACACACAAATGTGTTGGTTTGTATGCAGAAAGACTCTGCTTAGCTCTGTAGTGATAGATTTACAGAAAATATTTTTAAAATTATTAATATAGCACATTCCTTTTTCCTTTTTTTCCTTTCTTTTTCAGGACCGGATCTCACTATATGTGGTTCAGGTTGGTCTCAAACTCAGTATGTAACTGAGGCTGGCCTTGAATTCACAGCAATCCTTCTGCCTCAGCCTCTCAAGTGCTGCGATTACAGGTGGGTGCCACCATGGCCAGTTTTTTTCTTATTCTTTTAGAAGAGGCTAACTTTATTAGTTAGGTGTACTGACAGGATGAAGTCCATAAAACCCTGTTGACTTCTTTTATTTTTTTTGTCTTTTTCTTTTTTCTTTGTTTTTTTATCTGATACCAGGAATTGAACTCACGACCTTGTGCTTGCCAGGCAGGCACTGTGCCGCTCAGCTAAATCCTCAGCCCCCTGTTGCGTTCTTTTAAAAAGTGAAGAATATCACACAACATGCAAGGAACTTTCATTTTTTTCATGATATACTTTTACATCATTCCAAATTGTTTTCTTTTAGCAACAGACATATATGGTTCTCTTTTTTTTAAGTTAAAAAGAAAATATAAGGATTAAAACTCTTTAGTTTAAGTACAAGTTTTTAAAGAACAAAACTGATTTTCAACTTAGAATGTTAACTGCAAAATTACTTATCCATATTTCATGTTCTGTAAATAAAAATATTATTCATGAAAATGTGAGCATTTTTGACATTATAAATATGTAAAGATACATACAAAATTGTGTGTTGTAAGTGGAACATTTTCCAACACTTCTACATGCAATTCCTCCCCAGTAAGCCAGGAAATATCAGTGTCCCAGCCGATTGGTTTCTTCTCTCTGAAAAATGTGGACAGAAGCCTTTCTTGGTTATCATACTTAAAAACACTAAAATACCTCATGCTGAAGACATGAAAATTGGTTACTGAGGGGCTAGTACTAGGGAGGTTTGGCTCCCTGATCTTCCATTGCTAGAAACTTAAATGGCAATTAAGTTAACTTTTAAGATTACCCCAAGTAATTGTATCAATCTTGGACAAACAGCAGGGTAAAGAGATGTACTCTTTTCTTCAAGTCAGCTCCAGAAAAGGCCTACAACAGCAAAAAATGGATGTCCCTGCGGTCCCCGTTTAAAAAAAAAAAATCACAAGCATGGACTTCCCTATTAATTCAGAGAAAAAAAGGACAAAATGTCCTAAGACCTGATGTTAAATTTGGTTTCAAAATTCAGAAGTCTTAGAACACCTGTTAAGACATTTTCTGAAAGAAAAATAGTTTAATATAAAATGTTAATTTTGTAAAACTTCTGCAAAACTCTTGAGTTTATATTAAAAATGGGAGAGTGGATAAGGGTATACTGTCCAAATAAATCACATTCTAAATGGCTCAAAAATGGTAAACATCTTAAATTCCAATGAAGTCACTGATCTGAATCACATACTACAGTTATACAAAATTATCATTGGCCTGTAAGATTTCTCCATGCTAACTTAGCATTAATTTAAATTTTTTCCTAAAGTTCATTTTCAACTCTTAAGGTATGGCTAAAGTTTTGACAGAAAACTCTGGCAATTACTATCAGATTTTTTTCTTTTTAAACAAAATTTCACAACACATACAAACCATACCCATCCTGAATTCTGTACACAGCACAGCACTCTGGGATAAGACCTCTCATCATCAGTGCTTTCTTTAGACTGTCTCGGACCGTAACTCCACACCTTGCAGGTACCTATGGTATCATAAATACACACAAAAGATAAAGGGAATAGCTTTTCTTTCACATCATTAAAAAAGAAACTCAATATATTAGTTATCTTTATAACACCTCTAAAATGTCATACACATCGCTAGGTCAATGCAATATCACCTCTACAGCTCATTTAATAGTAAAGGGGAATTATACCAATAACTACTATTATTCACCGGCTTAACCCAAAATTTATTTTTGGCCTTTTATTAGAATTATGAAGTATTTTATAAACACAAAAAACAGAAAATAGTACTTACTATAATATATCCACCAATATAATGTACCCAGCATCAAGAAATAATAGATGTCAACATTTAAAGAAAAATCAATTTTGATCCAACATTGTTCAAAGCTGAAAGCTCTATAATCTTTTAATCACACTGATGGTCCTTAAGGGATATCTTATTGATGATAAACATGATAGGAAGAAAATGCTTGTCTTAATATGCATAAGTGATATCTGTTGTTTAGCTGTGCAACAGCCCTATTTCTTCTGAGTTCCTGCCCTTTAGAAATCCAGATGGAACTAGAGAGGCTATCAATCGAAGGTCACTTATTTTCTGGCTACAGATGACATCAACTGACTAATCAGTTTCCTGTATCTCTAGGAATAGCAAATGGCTACACACACACACACACACACACACATACTCTCTCTCTCTCTGTCTCTCTGTCTCTGTCTGTCTGTCTTTATCTGGACCCAACATACAAGTTCACTGATATACGGGCAGTGGCTGAGATAAGTTCCCAATTCTGCTGGACAATTCAAATCTTGAACGGTAGGTGGCCACTTCCCTCACTACACTGAGAAAATCTGGCTACAGAATAAAGCTAACATAGGGAGACACACAGATGACACCTGGAGTGGAGAAGGACAAGGGAAAGGAAAGAGACAGTTATCCCCATGCTTGGCGCTTTTCTTGCCTCATTTCTCCAGGTGAATCTGACATGAACTGAAAGACAGGCAGTGTGAGAGGTACATGGGATACAGTTTTTACTGGGGGAGGGTTACAAGACAGGAGGGGATACGTTCACTATAATAAAATAACCATACCATTCATCTCAATTACTTTAAAGTGTTCAACAACTCAGAAGTTCCCAAAGAAATTGGGAGAAAGGAAAGGATAGAAGTAAATGTAAGAACCCTGAATTTAAGTAGTATATTGAAGAGGGGACAATCTAGAAATCCTAGTTAGAATTGGTGATTAGAAAATACAAGAGTCAGATTTTAGCTCATATAGCCATTAAAACTATCCAGCAAGGACAGTGTGATGCTCTGGTTTGAGGAAGAGGGCTCAGTATCAGATGCATTCAAGAAGTGACTGAGATGGTATAGCTGATCATTATTCATGGAGTCCACATTTGTGAATTTGTCTGCTTGCTAATATTTATAATTCCAAAATTAATACTTGTATTGGTTTTGCAGACATGCATAGCACAGTGAAAAATTTGTGCTGCCTGAAGTATGTCTCTTTCCAGCAGATGCTGAACAAGGCAACACTGCCTTTTTTCAATTTCCATACTATATGCAGTGTCCTAAGCATAGACCATTGCCATGCTCTTTGTAGTTTTGAGCTTTTTGTTTAAAATACCTTCCTAGCACAGTGCTGTAGTGCTCCTGAATGCAAGACTGCAGACACATGCCTGGCAGAAAAGTAATAAATACTAGGGAAAGTTCCTTCAGTCTTGGAAAAAGGTGTGGTTTTTTTTTTTTTCCTGGTACCGGGAATTGAACTCATGACCTCGCGCTTGCCAGGTAGGCACTGTGCCACTGAGCTAAAATCCCCAGCCCCAAGTTCCTTCAGTCTTGAGACAGAGATGCCAGCCATGAATTAAATGTTAATGAATCAGGAGTATATAGCAAATAAGGTGTCTTTAAACAGAAACACACATTAAACAAGGTTCTGTATGGATTAACTGATGAAAACATGCCCAGAGGATCCTAAGAGCCTGACTGTATTGAGTTGACAGAATTTGAGGGCCAACCGAGGGGAATGGAATGACCACCAGGTGGCAGTCACATATGAACTTTATCTGGATGATGCTGTGATAGGGTTGTGTGCAGGGGAAGATCTTTCCATCAGGAGGCTGGAGAGAGGGCCAAAGGAATGAACGCCAGGGGAGAGGATCAGGGAGTGCAGCCTTTTTCCTCTAGGTAAGCTTGCTTAATAGCCTTGCAGGGAGTCTCCAGATGAAAGGACTCCAAAGAACAGCAGTTTGGGTTTTTTTTTTTTTGGTTTTTCTCCGGTACCGGGAACCGAACTCACGACCTTGCGCTTGCCAAGCAGGCGCTTTTGCCGCTGAGCTAAATCCCCAGCCCCAGTTTGGGGTTTTTAATAGCTCTGCTATTGAGTTCATCTGCAGCTAGTAGATATGGAGTGTGAAGCAGTTTTGTGGGGTTGGCAAAGTAGGGAGGCTTTCAGTGACTAAATTCTGCTTGGAAGGATTACGCTTAAAACAATCACATATAAAAAATTAGTTTGGAGCAGGCACACCTTTATGTTAACAGATCCCAGTCTGCTGTGAAGAAATACGCAAGGAGTCAATGCACAAAGGCGATCTTTAGCTCATTTATGTAAGCTATATCTCCTAGGAAAAATGGACCAGTATTCATTAATTTAGTGTTTGTAGCACAGTTATAGAGCATAACTACTGTGAATGATGAAAACTGGCTGTACTTTCAACAAAGAATGAATTGAAAAGCTCACTCTTTCTCTCTGTCACTCATCTGCCCACACTAACGCAAAACCCTACCCTTAGTTTTAAATCACAATCTATATCACTCCATGTCACCATAGAAATCTTTCTAAAGAAACTATTCTTAACTTCTTGTAACTTCTGAGACTTGGATAAAAGTCTTAGACATGATCTCTGAAACATGTAATTTCCGAGGGTTTGTGTAAAGTGAATCCCCTGAACTCAGCATTGAACCCATAATAATCTCACATTGCTTAGCATGCTTAAAATATTCTCATTACATATAGGGGAAAATTTAAATTCCTGTGGCACAAAAGGCCATCAGTGGCCTTGAGCTGCTATCCTCTCCTCTACTTGTTTTGGCAATTTCCTTCATGTACTCCAGTGATGTAAACACTTACATATACAGCTTCTAGATTTTATAATTTATCTTGATGTCAAATTTCTTTCAATATTGTGTTCACCAATCACAATATTGTTTTCAAGAAAAAAAATTGAAGGCCGGCCATGGTGGTGCATGCATGTAATCCTAGCATGTGGGAGGCACAGGCAAGAGGATAGCCACGAGTTCGAGGTTCGCCTAGGGTATATAGTGAGTTAGAGGGCAGCCTGGACTACATGGCCTTCTTCAAGTACAAAGAGGTGCCCTATACTACAAAAGTCTTAACGTATGAGCACATTTAGAGTTCAGTGTGTCTCTTGGTCATGCTAGATGTGACTGGCAAAGAACTAGTAACCACAGGACTCAAAAGGATGATGTCTTTTACTGCTAAACTGCTGCCTTGATCACATAAAAGTAAAAACTATAGTTCATTAATTACCTCACTGGAACTTGGGGGCGTTCAGAGAGGTCTCCCTATGTAGTTCATGCTGGCCTTGAACTCACTATGAGCCCAGGCTGGCCTCGAACTTGTGGCATTCCTCCTGCTTCTGCCTGCCAAGTGCTGGGCTTACAGGGGTGTGCCATGCCTGGCTCTCATTAGCACTCTGAGGGGAAAAAATTTACTTGGCAACAGAAAAGCCCTTTCATTGTTGGAGAAGCTAATGGAATTTATAAGGAGTCAAGAACGTCTGAGGCTGGGTGTGTAGCTAGCTCAGTGATACAGCACTTGCTTTGCTTGCACAAGACACTGGGTTCTATCCCCAACAACACAAAAGAGAAAGAAGAAAAGAATGTCCTGGACTCCACATTAACACTGTAGTTTAAATACAAAAATGAACTAATACTGCTCCCGTGCAGAATTCTAACTCACAAAGTATGAGCATCAAAATGAGAGAGTGCTTTTCTTGTTTTGGAACTGGGAAGTGAACTCAGGACCTTGTGCTTGCCAGGCAGGCGCTGTACCACTAAGCGACACCCCCAACACCCCCAACCCTAAGAGAGAGAGTGCTTTTACAAACTGTAAAGTACTCTACAAAGGTAACGCCAGGTATGGTGGTGCATACCTGTAATCCCAGCACTTGGGAGGCTGAGGTAAGAGGATTGTCGTGAGTTCAAGGCCAGCCTGAACTACAAAGTTAGACCCCGTCTGACTCCTCCCTGCCAAAGAAAAGTACTATTTTTTTCTATCTAAAAAGAAATCAGGGGTGGGGAATACAGCTCAGTGGCACAGTGCCTCCCTAGTAAGTGCAAGGTCCTGAGTTTGATTCCTGGTACCAAAAAATAAAAATAAAAATAAAAATAAAAATAAAAATAAATCAATTACCCTTTTAACATGACTTGTAGATCTTATGTTTTTTGACTTGCTGTGGCTAAAAAAGTGAGAGGCTATTTCTAAGGTTATAACACTTACTCTGATCTAACGATGCTTCTTTACTATTACCCAACTTCATTAAATCTACTTTATTCACACTAAGAGTTAAAGTTTCAACTATTAGTTTTCCCACAAAATGGCTAAAACAAGAATAGCTTTTCCTTGTTCTCCTTCATCAATATTTCTTAATTATAACACAACTAGACATGATTTTAAAAGATTTAATCTCATCCTGTTTCCTTTGCCTTTCTATCCATTTACCTTAGAAACAATCAGGATTATTATGAACCTGACTGTCTTTACAATCAAGTATTTGTTTACAAATGCCAACATATGGTAAATCCAAATATTCACTCTTCCAAGAATAACTACAGAACATTACTAAGTGCTAGGCAACACTACAGTCACTGAGCAAACTAAAAAAGATAAGCTACTCTCACAGAACTAAAACCATCCCACAGATGCTAAAATTAATTTAGTAGTTTTAGAAATACTTTCAGACTCCAGTTTCTTTACAGCCTTTGAACCAAATATGCATATTCCATGCCTCAGGAACTCCTTTTTCAGGTCTGTAACACAGAAATACCCCGTCACTGGCTCAGCAAGAATTTTGTATAAAGACATTCATATCTCAGCACTGTTTGATACAGTAAAAAGTGAACATAACACAGATGTTCACCAGTGGAGAAATGGACAAGCAGTGGTGCATTCAGAAGTCAATATTTGATAATAGTTCAACTGAATGAACTTGATCTATATGTATCAATAAATGCATATATATGTCTTAAAATTATAATTCTGAATAAAAAGGACAAGATATTGAACACTATAAAAATACACTATCATACTATTTTATAAATTAAAAAACAAAAATACTGGCTAATGGACGTACATATGTGTATCTATATAATAAAAATATGATACCTTACTTTTGTTGCTTTTGGAGGGACAGAGTGGAACAGTAGGTGTCAGCAAGGGACTATGACTGCTGTATGGGGAACTTAATTTGTGTGCATGTATACTATGAAGAGAATATAATTTTAAAAATAGTATTTGTTCATTGTAAGTAAATAAATAACAATGTGTTGTCCTTAAATAATTTTCTGCATAAATATTCAAAGCTTTCTAAGTAAGAAATTTTAAAAAAATTACAAATAATTCTTTTTAAATGCTGAACTAGCCTGGGCATCTTGGTGCTTGGCTATAATCCAAGCACTCCAGGAAGCTGACACAAGTGAGATCCTGTCTCAAAAATAAAAATAAAAAATAAGAGTTGGAGATATAGAGGCCAGGACAAAGGTCCTGGGTTCAATCCCAAGTACGGGGCAGGTGGTAGGGAGGGGTGTGTGACACAGTAAGTGGTAAGGCAAAGCTACCTAAAATAAGTGCAAGTATATGCAACGTATAAGCTGGCTTTCTGTTTAGCAATGTAAAAGACCACTTATAGGGGCTGGCTACTTCTGACTTTTTTTAAAAAATAAATGTAATTGAAAACGATTTTAGACATTAATAGAATTCAGTGTGACACTTCCATACACACATAGTGTGTATGGTAAACTCCCAAACCCAAACCCCTTTTCCCACCTTCTCTAGACCCTTCTCAATCTCTAGTAGTCACTATTTTACTTGCATGTAAATCTTTTAGCTTCTACATATGTGCTGTCTCACCTCTCCCCGCCACCCCCTCATCTCTGTCTCTGTCTGTCTCTGTGTCCTCCTTATATTAAGGACTAGAACCAGGGCCTTTGCACTGACCTACAACCCCAGCTCCTTTTTAATTTTTTATTTTGAGAAAGGGTCTCACTAAGTCACTCATTTTTTTGAGACAGGATCTCACTACATAGTCCAATCTAGGCTTGAACTTGGAATTCTTTTGCCTCTACCTCCTGAGTGCTGAGATTCCAAGGGTGCACCACCACACATAGTCTTTCATGGACACTTGTAGTTGCTTCCACTTTCTGGTTATCATGAAAAAATGTAGCTACAACAAGGGTGTGCAATCAAGACCTTGCTTTCAGCAGGTGTGGTGCCTCATGCCTGTAATCCCAGCACTTGGGAAACTGAGCAGGAGGATCCCCGACACAAGGCCAGCCTACGCTACACAGCAAGACCCTATCTCAAAAAGACCAAAAAAAAAAAAAAAAAAAAAGATCTTGCTTTTTAACTCTTGGGGTATATATCCTGAACCAGAACTGTTCAGTCATGTTGTACTGTAATTCTAGTTTTGGCTTTAAGGAATTTCCACAATGTTTTCCATGCAGTTGTACCATTTAGTATTTCCACCAATGTACAAGGTGTCTAGTTTCTCCACATCCTCACCAATACTCACTTTGTCTATTTCACAGTAGTCATTCTAATGGGTATGAAAAGGTCTCTCATTGTGGTTTTGATTTGCATATTCCTAGTTAGCAATGCTGACCATCTTTTCATGTTTTTGGCCATTTGTGCATCTTCTTTCAAGAAATATCTATTCAAGTGCTTGGCCCATTTTTTACTGGGCTTTGTGTTGTTGTTGGCTTGTAGGAAGGAAGTTTCTTACTAAATTTCTGAGGCTGAGCTGGAATTTTCAATCACCTTGCCTCAGCCTCCCAGAGTACAGGACTACAGGCATGCGCCACTACACCTAGCTGGTACTTAATTTCTTGATTCTATCAGAATTTACTATTTTGGTAACTGTCTAAGACATATGTCCAATTTTATTTTTTCTAGATGTGCCATTAAAAAAACCTAAATGATGTCTCCCTAGTGTGAGAAACTGAAAGAGTAAGAAAGATCCAAAATGCACAAGAAATATAGTGAAATGGGAAGAAACTGATTAAAAAGAAGAGAAACTGGGAGGAGGAAAGGAGAAAAGAAGAGAAAGGCAAACACACACACACACACACACACACACACACACACACACACA